TGTGAAACAATTCAGTCCAGATAGATGAAGATAGTTAAGAAAAGTAAACACAGATGGTGGAAAGAAAGAAGCACAGGGTAAAGAAAATTATATTTACATTCACATTTATTAAATTAGCAGAGGACTTATGAAATATGTAAACAAATTGAGGCCAAACTGATATGAAGTAGCCTGATGTACAAAACATAAATATACATAATGATGAAAGCCAGATACAACTTGACCTAATCTGCTACAAATGTAATCTGTAAGGACAAAAAGTGCAGTTTTGTGCAAATAATAAACATAAATGTTAAGTGTAGAGAAGAAAAGTCCATAAATAGTAGAAGAAGAAGCAGTAGAAGAAGAATGGCCCCCTTTTTTATGTTGTGTAAATTAACAATACATACAACAATTATGTAATTACTGCTGATGTAGTCGCTGTTACAGGAGGACTAAACATATCTTTATAGTTGTAACAGCATATTGTCTCTTGTGTAATCATATGTGTAATTCATAGAATTCCGATGATGTAACACAATCATGCTGCCACCATTTTTGCGGGCAACTTCAAATTCATTCAGCAACACAGTGATGGTTTGTAATGAGATAAATTATAACCAAGCCAGCAAAGGCAGTAAAACACTTTTGTGTCTTTTGTGTCTTTGTGTCTTTTTCTTGATAGAAAGCTTTAAAACTTATACTTAAAGCATATTGACCAATATATTAGAGTGTGTTGCCTTGATTTTATTTGATTTGTTGCTGTAGTGATAATGAAAGCTGAAATCTAAATGCCTGAGATTACCTGCCGCTTAACTATTTCTGCATACCAGCGCACTAAACAGTATGTAAAAATGCTGCTGTACCATTAGAAATACACTAATTCGTGTAGCAGGTACAGTATAGAAGTGTGTATTTTGGGGCGCAGCATTAAATCTGCCAGTGGGACGCGTTCAACAGTCTAGCAGCATCAGTCAAGTATGACTATAGCTTTGCTGTGCCACTAGTTAGCTGCTCATTAACAATTTCGAAATGTAGGATTAAAGAATTTTCTGATTTAGGCCCCATGCATTACATCCTTTTTCGAAAAAATGGCAAAAACACAAGACCTATTAGAAAATGCTCAAATGCCTGGATAGTAGGGCGAGATAATACCCATAAAATTTGATGTCATACACCTCAAAAGGAGCTTTGTGAGCAAGTGGTCTGCGCAAAATATAGAGAGCGCCACGGTTCTAACAAGGTGACCACAAAGTGCTACAAATACTGTAGACTTTGATGCCATCAGACCTCCACAATTCAACATTTCACACAGATTCAAAGTGCAAAAGACCACCTAGCATTTGTCCCCGCAAACTCGATTTAACCCTTTATAATCCCATGCTCACTACATACTGAGGCAATGCAAACTGGCTGAGCTATTCTTAGGTTATAGAAGTGTGTGATAAAACTTTGGGCTGACTGGTGGGCCATGGCCATGCAAGTGGTTAGTGAAAAAGTAAAACTAAATTCAATTACAAACAGGATTATGACTCCTAAATCACCTGACAAATTGCTGAGCCAAGAGAAACAACTCAGCCATCAGTCATATGTCAGACAGAGCTCTGCATACTTAATAAATGACTTCAAGCATGTGCAAGTTAATGGTGTGATGTCACCGTTTTCAAAAAACAATCCAACTCTGCAGAGCATTTTCAAAAAGCTAAATTTTCAGAGAAGGAAAATTCTGCTTTCATGTGGATGGGAGGCCAACAGAGAGAAAAAATACATTTTCAAAAATATTGGGTTACTTGTGGATGGGGCCTAAGGATGCATTTATTAAAGCAAACTGGATGCCTACAAAATTTCCTGTCACATGATAAAATTCTTTATTCACCACCTTCTTTTTAGAAACTTCACTCCAGCTTAATTGTGTTTATTACTTAAATGAACATTGTGAAAAATTAAGTGGTATCTAGTGGTGAGTTTGTATATTGCAACCAACTGAATAGCCCTCCCTCACCCCTCCCTTTCTAGTTGTGTAGTAGAACCTATGGTTGCCGTCAGATTTTCTGCCATTGCCTGTCTCGATTATGTTTTAATTCTTCATGTTTTCACTTCTTTGATGATGAGGATTCACCCTGCTTTGCTTTTTCTTGTGCTAAATAATAAGTATGATCTTCCTTTGTCAAAAATTGGGTTTTCAAACTTCTCACAATACAAAAGTGTAAGCCAGCACTGGCAGCCGCTTCAACATGAAAGCATGAAAGGCACTCTCTAGAGCCAGTGATTGTGTTACTGAGCAGAATAGTGAACAGAAATATGATGGAAGCAATATGTTGGAAGAGGACCCCCTTCATATCTACATATGGAGGGGGTCCTCTTCCAACATATTGCTTCCATCATCTTAAGCTAACCAAAACACAATTATTCATAGTTACAGGTAATTTATACACTAATGCAAACATGTTTTTTTTTGTATACTATATACCATTTCTGCTTATAGATCCCTCCAAATCTCACACTCTGCACCTTTAAAATCTTTAGCAGTTTTGGTAGCTATTCTTGTGTGTTTTTGTAAAATCCCATCTATTCTAATTTTCTGAAATTGAGATGTCTGCATGTCATATGGATCCAGTCCACCAGTCAAGATAATCGTCTACTCAAAGCATTTTCTAAGAGACTGTGTCTGTGTGTCCACTTATCTTTCATGTCTTCCATGGTCATTCTGGTCTATTTTGCTTGGTCATAATCAACTTGTAGGGTTGCAGGAAACAAGTCATGTCCAAGCATTGTTAGAGTTACAGCTTGCCTTGCCTTTTCTTAATGAAGTAATCAAATACTACCCTATATCAACAAAAGTATTGGGACACCTACACATTACACCTACAGGAGCTTTATGACATCCCATTCTAAATCCATAGGCATTAATATGGAGTTGATCCACCCATTTGCAGCTATAACAGCTTCCACTCTTCTGGGAAGCTTTCTACATGATTTTGGAGAGTGTTTGTGGGAAATTTTGTCCATTCATCCAGAAGAGCATTTGTGAGGTCAGACACTGATGTTGGACGAGAATGCCTGGCTTGCAATCTCCCTTCTAGTTCATCCCAAAGGTGCCGGATGGGGTTAAGGTCAGGGCTCTGTGCAGGCCAGTCAAGTTCTTCCACACCAAATTTACTCAGCCATGCCTTTATGGACCTTGCTTTGTGCACTGGGGCTCTGTCATGCTGGAACAGAAACTTGCAAAAAAGTTTCGCGAACTGACTTGTTGCAACAGTGGCACCCTATTACAACACCACCATGCTCGTATTCAGTGAGCTCTTTAGAACAACCCATTGTTTCACAAACGTTTGTGAAGGCAGACTGCATGGCTAGGTGCTTGATTTTATACACCTGTGGCAATGAGACTGAATGAAACACCGGAATTTAGGTGTGCCCCAATACTTTTGCCCATACAGTGAACGTAAAGGCAGAAAGCAATTATATTTGTATGAACTGCTGTTTTTCCAACAAGTCTTTGCTGATTGTAGAAAGTGTGTAATGACCTACATTGTGAGAATACTTACACTGCATCCACACACCAACCTTACTCATATTTAGTTAGCTGTAGTAGCATGATTGTGCTGCGACACGGTAACCAAACCAAAGTTCTGGCTTTAAACCGTTCTGAAATGGTTTGGAAACTGACTGCACAGTGTAAATACTCAGTGTAGATACAGTTAATTGTTAAAAGCCAGAATTATGGTTACCATGTAATAACACAATTATGTTACTACAGTGAGCTAAATGTTAGCAAAGTTGGCATTTCCTATGCAGATGCAGTGCAAGTACCCTCATCATGTAGGTAATTACTCATCTGTCACAGCCAGAGTCTTATGGTAATTTACCCTCATCCTATTACAGGTGTAATTACATTAATGAAAATATGCTGTTATAACTATCAAGACACAATTGTGTAATTACATCAGCTGTACTGCTGTAATCCATCTGTAACAGCGTACTTAAAGTTTGTTGCATGTGTTGTTAAAGTGTAAGTACAAAGTGAGATATGAAGTAGGTGGAGCTAATATAAAGTGAAACTGAAGAACAAGTGGGAGGAAAAGAAGTTGAGTCAAGTGGTTTTTTTTTATTGTCATAGATGAAAAATGAGATTAGAAAAATAAGACCAGAAGAACAACAACAATAACAGACGAAAAGAACAACAGCCAGAAGAATAATCAGAAGGTAAAGAGGAAGAAGAAGAAGAAGAGAAGAAAAAGAGAAGATGACAAAGAAGAGAAAAAGATGAAGAAGAAGAGAAGATAAGAAGAAGAAGATGAAGAAGAAGAAGAAGAAGCGGAGAAGAAAAAGAGAAGAAGATGGAGAAGGAGAAGAATTACAACTACAAGAAGAAGAAGGAGTAGAGTAGAAAAAGGAGAACAACAACAACAACAGGGAAAAGGATCAGAGTACAAGAATAACGTGGAGCAGAACAAGAACAATTAAAACAAGTTTAATTTGTATATTTTTTTAACGAGACAAAAGTAAATGACAAAACAAAACAGAAAGTATGGAAAGTGTGCAAATTAGCGCATATCTTATAAAGCTCTAGCAGTGCAAACAAAGAACAGAAGGCTACCGGTGACAATTCATCACAAAGCAAACAAAGAGCATACGGACACCTGCTATGGCTAACAAAAAATCCCCATACTGTCTGTGTAGGCTGCATCATCTGCAAAGTGTGCAATGTACTTAATTAAGGTTTTCCTCTGGCACCCTAAAGCCTTTCTTCTGCTTCTTCGTCTTCTACACTTGTCAGTCTTTTTCACCACAAAAAAAATCAGAGAAACTTCACTTATTCCCTCAAGCAGCAGTGTCTGTGCAGTTTCTATCTTAGTTACTTTAATTCCTGGTTTTTTGTTGTTGTGGGTTTCGTCTCAAACACCTCTTTTCTGTCTGAAAGATTTTGAAACCAGTAATTATATCCAGCTTCGTGAACATGACACTCCCTCTCTTATCCATCTCTCTGGGCTTGTCTGCCTCCCCCTTCTTTTTAGTCACAACCCACCTCCTCTCTATGTAAAGAACTGCTGCTGACTCCCGACCCACATTCTTTCTGAAGCCCTGTCTGAAGCAAGTCCACTGTTTTTCATTCTTGGCTGAACGCAAGCAGAAGAAAAAAAGGGAAAAATGGACGGGAAAATGACCGGAGGTCCGAGCGTGGCTAATGCCCCGACATACCTGGGATGGTCCATCTTCAACACATTGTGCTGCTGCCTTCCTCTGGGAATTGCAGCCATTGTGTTCTCCTGCCGAGTAAGTTTGAAATCATTTCTTTTTTGTTTGAAATCATCTTCTTCCTTATTTGCACTCTTAGAAAAAAAAAAGTTTGCCAAGACAGGATTTGTGGTATCATTTTTGGTTCCAAAAAGAACCGTTCTGTACGGTTCTTTTAAAAAAGCATTTTTTGTAAAGGACACCTTTTCATAGTTTAAAAAAACAGCATATAAAGTAAACCAAGCAACCAAAGACCTTTACTGGAACCATATGTTCAAGCCAAGAACTATTTCTTTATTTATAAGAGATTCATTGTGCAAAAGGTATTGAATTTCTGCAAAACTGGAAAAAAAAAACTGGAAAAAAACTCTTTTTCCTCATAGGCTGACACTGCTAACACCATCGGAGATGGCACAAGTGCTCACGAGCACTCCAGGACAGCAAGGAACCTGAATATTGCAGCGCTGGTCATTGGAATCATTTTCCTCATAATCTTCATTGTTCTTAAAGTTCTTCACCCGAACAATTAACGGACTAATTCTGTAACTCCGGAAGATCATTTTTTTTGTTATTCCTCATCATTTTCATGGGCAATTCCATCTAAACTTTGGCAGGGAAAGCTGCTTGCCCTTTACCTTTTACATAAGACACAAAAAAAGTGAGAAAAAAAAAACCTCCATGTTGATGAAGTTTGCTGGTCTTGAGTTTTAAAACAAAAAGCTTTTATTTTTTTACTTTTTCTTTTGTTTGTTTTTGGTTTTTTTCCTCTTTTTTAACAAAAAGTACTAGTTTATTTAGTATCAGTTTATTCCCAAAGAAATACGTTTTTAACCTGTGTTATCTTGTATCTTATCTTTTTGTATATGAATGTACTGTATCTTTTCATGTATTCAATATCTTTTACATAGCCAAATAAAATTTTACGCCTTTTCAGTGTTTTTTCTTACTTTTTCTACGATGGCAAAGTGTTTCAGATAGACTTTAGAATTAGGTAGTCACGTTTTTATTAGTAAATGCATTTAGAAGGGTCAACAAAAGAATTTTTTCTTGTTGCTTCATGGCAAAAACGATGTCTAGAGCATGAGGTGAGAAAAAAAGTTAAGAAGAAACTGCTTAATGTCACTCCGTTTGCACAGCCTAGCTTGCTGCTGATGTGCAAACAAGTGCATTGCTCTCGAGTCAATAATAAAATGGCGCACTAACTGTGGGGAGTGGCGAACAGCTCTGGATGCATCTTGATTAAAACCAGCCCACACTGCATAGCTAGCATTGCATTTTGAGTGCCCAACGCACCAAATCTTTCTTTGTTTTTTCCACAAAATCTGATTAAGCTTTCATATTTTGAGCTTTAGGGCATTAAGCTCCAAACCTTAGTGAAGGATGAATTTTATAAAAGCATGATTATGCTATCCAATTACAGTTAAGTCAATAAAGAGCCATGCAAACAGGATTTTACCCAGTTATAATCCTCTTATGTGCCCATATCATGAGCTTTTAGTCATGAACACTTATGTTCCATTTGTTCTGCAATGTGAATGAACATTGGCCACAGACTAGCATCTCCCATCTTCTAAACAGTGCGAGACCAGACCATAAGCACAGGGGAGGCTCAGATTTCACTGTTAGGGGAGTGGACGGGTGAGGCCAAGTATGCTCCATTAGTTCCACATTAACAGTGTTTATGTTCGCATTCCTGCACACTATACGCTCCACTGCCACAAACCTGCTACAGTGGCTCCATGTGAACACAGCACGATACAACAATTGTTGTCTTTATGTGTATCTAAATGATTTAGCATTACTTTTAAACCATAACACATCTTTACTGACCTTCTACAAGAGCATGTTTGTTAGTTGTTTCTTATTCTTTCTATGTTTCATTCTTCCAAACTGCTTTAAAATCAGTACAAAACCCATTTCGGATGTTTAACTGACTGGACTTTAGACTACAGTGCTTTGTTTTGAGTGACCCTACGTCTTAATGATGTTCATTACATTAAAATATATGAGTATTCCATTCACTACATTCTTAAAAAAAGGTGGTTCTTCTGGGTACTTGAAGGTACTAGAGCCATGAGCTCTATATAGAACCATATCTTGTTAAAATGGTTCTATCCATGGTGAAACATGATATGGTTCTCTATAGAACTCATGGTTCTAGTAACTTCAAGAACCCTGAAGAACCATCATTTTATTTTTATTTTAAGAATGTGTTGTTATTATGATTATCATTACAAACCCCTTTTGGTGCTATTTAGAACCATTTTCAAAAAGGTTCTGCGTAGAGCCATAAACAAGACATTTTTTTTTATCAATCTGAAGAATCATTTTACCATGGAAAGAAACATTTAAGCATGGAAATGGTTCTATGTAGAACTCATCATTCTACACTGACTAAAGAAACCTTTGAAGAACCGTTTTTTAAGGATGTACTAAAATGATCTTTTCGGTAGTGACAATTTTGGCTAATTTTTGGCAAAAAAAAATGCTGGCCAGTACATAACTAGTAAACACAGCTTTGAACAGTTCTGTACACACACAAAAAAAATAATAATAATAATTTTCATTAAAATCTAAAAGAGTTTCTTAACTGCGCAAAATGTGTGTTTTAGTAGTGACAGTTCTTAATGTTACACATTGACTTTTTTGACTCATTTCATGAGATCTAACTGCTCACCATGTGGCCATGAGGGCCAGGGATGCAGCCTCACTTCCTGATCTAAAATGCAGGGGTGTGGTTAAATAAGGCTCCGCCCATGGACTAAAACTCTTCGTGTGTCAGTGGTGACATGAAAACGTTTGGTGGCATTTTTGGATAGTTTTTTTTTTTTTTTCTTTTAACTTCACTTTAAAAGAATTTTATAAAATGTAGGCATGATTTTTATTTACAAGTGCAAATTTAAGGGTTAGGGTTTGGAATAGACACCTCCCAATAGAAAGCACACTACAAATGATGATTTTGTATATACTAGGCTTGATTCTATCTCAATTAATGCCTTTGGGTTTAAATAGATCATAAAATAATCCTTGTAAATATCTAATGTATGAATACCTCATTGTTTTTAAAAATACTTTGTTTTCACTGTGAGACTGCATTTTGAACTAATTTGGTAGAATAATCTACGTACTATACAGTGCAAAAGTGAGGCCATCCTTCATTTATTTTCTTCCAGTCAAAATAGCCATTAAATAAAAGTTCATTTTTCAGTGTTAGGGAAGAAAACGAACATATGTTCAACAGAAATTTCCCCAGAAACCTCAACAACTAAATATAATCTAATTTTTTCGGTATTTAGTTTATCCACTATTTACCTTTATTACAGCTTCTATTTTCTCCCTCGCAGGGATATTTTTCCACACATCCAAAGTTCAGTTTTAGAAGTTGGTTGCCTTGTGTGCTTCTCACGATCCCAGTAAACACAAACACCTTCACTGATGTTGAGGTCTGGACTCTGGGGAGTAAGGATGAACATCTGTGGACTTTTTCAGATCTGAAGAGTAGAGCATGATTTTCTCCTCTCTCTTAAAGATGAAAGCTTTAAGTGCTGTTTATCTGATGGGGGCAGTTTTGGTGGTCTACCAGCTCAGTTTTTGCCCTACATTTTTGGAAACTCCTGTTCTTTCACTTTTTTCTTTGACTTTTCTCTTTTTCATGCAAATGGATCATATTATATCCCGTGTTTAGCTAAAACAAGTTGCCTCCCCAAACATAACATGCCAAGAGACATTTACTGGAAGGGGCGTATTTAGAGAGAATTTATGTTTGTGTGTATTTTGCATTGCTTATCTTCATGAACTGACCTTGTAGAGTCTGCATGCCATCCAAACAGTTGGTATTTGTTTGTGCCCAAAGGTCAGATGTGTTTTTGCTCCCTGACTAAATCAATTTCAGGCACATTTGATATTCACAAGCTAAAAATTTCAAACAAACTGCTCATTAAAACTGAAGCTTTGCACTTGTTGTATCTCTTGTGTCAGCGACGCCACATGTTGCTGGTCTTGTCACTTCCTTTCCATGAACTAGTTATAAATCAATCTTGATATATGAGTCATTCAATGCCAACTCATCAAAGGCCTTTTATGTTATGGGTTTCCATGAAACAATTCAAGCGAATACTTAAATTAGTTTTAAGCAACCATGCAAATTTTCAAAGCTGCGCTCCAATTCGTTTTTCAGTTATGATTTTTAAAGTTTGCCAAATTAGCATCTAAATTTCATTTTAAACGTTGAGTTCAGCTGCTTACATAATGTCTGAATCAACCTGGAATATTAACTGGCTTTAAATGCAACACTAAGAATAATATTTCACATTTATATTTATTGGTTATATAATAATAATTTTTTTTTCCATTTTATGCCAGATTTTTGTGCAATGTATTTCAATTTTTAAAAAACAGCAAAATTTAGGCTTTGTCTAGTATTTACGGAAGTCCAGAGAGGCCTAGAGGTAGTTGTAATTTTCTGGATCGCTATTTTGAGATAAAAATTTAAGTATCTTGTTATCTCAAGATAACAAAATTGTTATTTTGAAATAAGTTACTTATCTTGTTATCTCAAGATAACAAAAATTGTTATCTTAAGATTGTCATCTTGAAATAAGTTACTTATCTTGTTATGTCAAGATAACAAAATGGTTATCTTGAAATAATACGTTACTTATCTTGTTGTCTCAACAATAATAAAATTGTTATCTTGAAATAACAAGTTACTTATCTTTTTAGCTCAAAATAACGTGTTATTTTGAAATAACAACTTACTTATTTTGTTATCTCTGGATAAAAAAGTTAAGACAATGAGTTAATTATCTTGTGATCTTAAGATAACAAAGTTCTTATCTTGAGATAATGAGTTATTTATCTTGTTATTTCAAGATAACAAAATTGTTATCTTGCAACAACAAGTTACCTATCTTGTTATCTCAAAATAACAAATTTTTAATCTTGAAATAATGAGTCCCTTATATTGTTATCTCAAGATAACAATCCAGGACATTATAACAACAGCTCATGGCCTCTCCGGACTTCCGTAAGTGTTCCTACATTTCTAGTATAAATCATTTTTAAAGATAAACATGAGTTTGAAATGGCTTCAACAATAAAGATCCATTTTGTAGGCCTTAGCCTCAATATTTAGTCCCCCAAACGGGACTAATCTTAATAGAATAAGAAAGAATAAGAATCTTGTTAACATAACAAATACAGGTGAGTAATGACTCCTTTATGATTTAATATTTTTTTAAACATGACATATTTGACTAATGCACATGATATAAACAAGTAGTAAAACTGTAGATAGACTGGATTTACATTATCAATAAAACTTCATAATGCTCTAAAACGCATTTATCCTTTTTTAAGAGCTAATATATTCTTTCTCTCTTGTTTGTGAGGGATCTACTATACATGTAATCTCTATCAAAGGCATCCAACATGTATCCTGTTTTGCTAGACATCAAATTAAATTTCCTGTCCATGAGGATGCAAAATAATTACAACGACATCACCATTATCTCCTGAGGACTCCAGATAGTTTCTGAGTCACCATTTCCTATCAAACCAAAACACAGCTTTCCTGGGATACGCCTCCTCTGCTGATTCCACCCAAAAGCCCCTTCCCTGCTGCTAGCGTCACTGACATTTTATGCGTTTGGCCCAGGACTTGTACTTAGTTCATGTGAAAGTGCAGCATGATTTGTATGTGTCTTCAATGGAAAGTGATCTAGTGGCAAAATTCCATGGTTGCATAATGTGAAAGTGGCCTGGAAAAAAAAGAGAAGCTCTTTTTCAAACAAATGCAGGCTGGCCAAAGGCAGCTGGAAATGAATACAAGACGAGTGTCGGGTAGTAAGGGGCTGCATGTAATCTGGATTACATAACGACACCTTTGTAACAACATGTGAACGGCTTACTGCTACTTTTTTTTATAAATTACT